AAAGGAGAGCGCCGCCGCTGCAGCGACGAGCGTTGCAGTGATTTTTAAACTTATATATATACAGCGGCAGGAGACAGCCGCTTTACGCCAGCGAACGAGCGCGAGAGAGTTGTAAGCTCTCTGGCGCGATGGCAGATCGCTCGCGAGGTGGGAGCATTACATCAACCGCGAGCTCGCGCGGTATCTATATAGCGAGGCAACAAACGGTATATAGTTGCGCGGGAGTAAGTACGAGGCGAGCGAACGACGTGAACTTTCTTATGTATACAGAAAGAGAGCGAGAGAGATAGAGAAAGAAAGAGCAATTATCTTACTCGGGCTGGCGAAATTGTGTGAGAGCCAGCAGATGATGCGCCTCTCTCTCTCTCTCTCTCTTTTCATAAATAATTATATACATCTGCGTGTGCCATATCGTGAGATATCTCTCTTTCTCTCTGATTCACTGGCACGCTCAATCTCGTATACTCTGTGTGTGTGTGTGTGTGTGTGTGCTGAGTGTGTGATTTTTAATCTCGACTCTGACTGACCTGCTGCAAAAGCACATGACCGTGTCCTCGGCATCGAGCGACAGTGCCGAGGCCGTGACGGCCGACGTGGCGACGACACTCGTGGACGTCGTCGTCGCCGTCGTCGCCGCCGCCGACGACGAGGACGACGAGCTACTGTTGTCGATCGCCGAGTAGCGGAAAAATCTCCGACTCGTCAGGCTGGAGAACATCGTGTCGTTGTATACGTTGTCTCGACCGCGACCTTTTATTTTTTTCTTATATTATTTCAAGCACAGACACCCGCACAGCTGTTCTCGCGCGCGAGAATTTCCCGCGCCTACCAATTGGTATAAAAATAATACCATCTATGATATTTCGTTATAAAATTAGAATTAATATACAATGTACAAAGCGTCGAATATGTAACGTCGGCGTCGGCCGTGTTGTCTCGCACAGATGACTGACTGACGCATGTGAGGCAGCCAGGCAGCAGGCCTCGTCGCGGCAGCGGCGCTTATAAAACACACAGGCTTACATCGTATAAGTAACGCGTATATAACAGCAGTGCGCCACACGCGCAGCCCAACAATAAGTCTCGTGTATTATTATATATATACACACAATTACAATGTATATGTACGTACTTCTTCGTTCGCGACGCGCATGTATACAATAAAAAAAAAAACGGAGCGCACACCAATAAGCTCTACTCTTTTCTTTCTCTCTCTATCCCTTATCGGCTTTTATTATAAGCGCGTGTCGTCGTCGTCGTCGTCAGTCGCGCTTATCATCATCGCCGATGTTCCTTATCAGCTCTCGCCGTCTCTCGACGACTGTCCTCCTCCTCCTCCTCCTCCTACTCCTTTCCTCCTCCGATGACGGATGCGCGATTTTTATCGGCCGATACAGCGACGACGACGATGATCGAGTCGGGCCGCATCGGTGACTAATAATTTTTCCACCGCGATGCATCGTCCTTTTTCTGCCTCTTGTTTCGTATAGCACACGACCAAGAGAGAGAGAAAGAGAGAGACACACTTACATAGTTGTAGATCGGAAATCGGGAAATAATAATAAGCAAGGAGAGAAACCGATCTTCGGATCTTACGCGCGCAACTACCTATCTGTCTATCTATATACGATGGCAGTCGGCGCGTGCAAGGCGCAGACCCGCGCCGCTGGGGAACACTGACTGATTGCATTGCGGCGCGGCGGAGCGAGCGGCTTTCGTGCTCTCTCCAAAGAGAGCCGCAGCAAGTGCGCTTACTCGGAGGGGCAATACAGGCGCATGTATATAGGATGTATCACACAAAGGTATATAGACACGAAGACGACGACGACGACGATGTGCTGCTGGTATACTCTCCCACCCACTTGCGCTGAAGGCTCGACGCGGCTCTCTTGCGAATATATCGTCGTGTATATAGTAGCACCTATATACAAGTACTTATAGATATACATGTAGACAGTCTCGTCGATATAGGCATATAGATATATTATATATGTAGTCATCTCTGGGCGCAGGAATAGTCCGAAAAGGGCTTCTTCTTCATTTTCGTCGTCGTCGTCGTCGTCGTCTCTTGTCTCGCGCGCGGACTTTTGTAAGATATCCCTGCTTGATGAGCTAAAAAAAAAAAAAAAAGAAAAATAGTAGGTAGTCGTCGCGCTTTTTTGCGTATCGAGTTGCGGTGGCGGCGACTCTCGCAGACAGATAGACAGTCCATCCATCCACCCATTGCTACGGACGACAGACAGATATCTAATATAGCCCATTATACCAGCTACAGTATGTACGAATATAATCGCGAGAGGCAGCGAGAGATTCACGCTCGAGCGAGCAATAAAACGCTTGCTACGGAGAGGCGGCAGCAGCTGTTCGCGACGTTCGGCCCGATATATTTTTGGCCTCCCTTGTCGGAGCTTTAATACGCAGTTCTCTCCGCTGTATGCCCTGACTCATCGGGAACTCTTTTTTTTCATATACCTGTGTGCGTGTGTTACCTCTTTGTCTCTAAGCCTATATATCTGCGCGTAAGTTGCCCAAGCTCGAGCGGAGATATCAATTCGATAACGTCCAATGTTGTTTTGTTTGCACGGTGTACATACATACACCGAGTTTTACATCACCTGCTGGCGTTGACTGCTGTGCCTCTCTTTCGGCACGTTGTATATATATAATACACGCGAAACCGCGGAACGTTGAACTTTATAGATTTCATCGATATAAATAAAACCGCGCGCGCGCGTTCGCGAGCGAGCGAGCGTCGATTTTCTCTATCTGGCTTTTCTGCTCTATTTATAGACACCACACCGTGAAAGGTACATACACACGTACACCGACTGGTTTGAATGAGAGGGAAAGAGAGAGAGAGAGAGAGAGAGAGATAGAAAATGCCAAATGAAAGAAACGAGACGTCATTCGTTGGGATCTATTTTGCTAACGGAGAGTATTTCTCTCGTCGTCTCCTTTTTTGTTTTTCTTTCCTCTCTTCGGGGGCGCGTCTATCTGTCTATCTCGCGCTCGTTTTGCTGTGTAACTTTTATATTCTTTTGCTTAATGATAATTGTAAGTAGCTATATCGACGGACATGCGGGTGGAAGGTGTACGTAGGTACGGAGAAGTTGAAACCCTCGGACTGTTTCGACGGGGTCGACGGACGGTGGATGGCGCATCATTATTTTTCTTCGGCAGGTCGAATTCGTCTCGAACAACATTCCAAGTTTCTGGGCGTAGTATAGGGTATCGTCTTACTTTTATCGACTTTTTCGCGTAAAAATCGTGAAAATTGCTCGGTACTTTTCCTCTCCACCGTTTCCGCCCTCGCGAGGCTTGGGAAAAACAGATTCTTGCGCCGAGAAAAGTTGTCTCGCACACGCCAAGCCACCACCACCGCAACGGCAATCGGTGTATAATTGTCCGTGGAAGGATTTGTACGGAGCTTTTTAGTTGTTTTTTCCGTTATTTGTTGTTGTTTTTTTTTTTAAAAAGCACCCAAGTTACACGATAGCGACAGGTTTTGCCAGACGTCGCAAGTGCATTTCACATACGGAAAAAACACATCCGCACGCATACACTACAGGGGCTCTCTTTCTCTCGACCTCCTTTATCTTCTGACGAACTTTTTTTTTCTTTTTTTTTTTTTTACTTTTTTTGACAAAGACACGGCGCGCGGTGACAACGACCTCGCTGCTACTGCTGCTGCACACTTGCATAGAGCAGTTTGTGTATACATACATACGTTCTTTCTTTTTGGCAACACATGCGACAAGCGCGTGACAAAAGCAAGGAGAGAAAGAGATAGAGAGAAAGAAAAAAAAAACGAAACAGAGTTGAAGCGCGAGCTTAATCGCACGCGCGCTCGAGTTAATGCTCCGAGTTTACTACTATAGTCTCGTGTACGCGTGTATGGGCTAATGCGCAAAATAGACATGCTATTCGCACATATACATACTTGCAGTGCAGCAGGAGAGTCAATCGAGATGAGGTTATAGCGCGACACGCTGACAGTATGGTGTATACACGTACACCACTAGGTGTAAAGCGCACAGGACTCGGAGGACTTTGGAACTGGAGCAGTTCCTTTTAATATACCGGTGCGTTGCTGCGCTTTCGAAGAAGCCCGCGCGATTCTTTCATGAGAGAGAGAGACACACACACATGCGTTTCCATCTCTATACCTACACGCACTCCATACACACGAGGGTATACCCTCTATATATGCAAAACACACACGCGGCCTGGCGGAGCAGAGGGTATAGATGTATATCAACTGCACAAGTGCGCGCGTAATTATGTACGCGATGCGCGCGAAAAGATGCGCGCGGCCTGTACTGCAGTGCAATCGTCCAAGCCGTCATCGTCGTCTTTATAGTGCCAGCAGCAGTTAGCATCGAAGCGTTGAAAAACATTTTCTTACGTCGTTTTTATAGATGCATAAACAGACGCACATATACACGCGCGCGCGTAGTATACACACACAAGAGAGGAGAAGAGGAGCAAAAGACTCGGAAGCACGACGACGATATGTCACACTTATACATATATACACAAAAACAGGGGGGGATTACGCAACGAGCGGACATGAAAATAATCGTATCGTTGATGTGTGTATAGAGGTGTATGTGCTGCTGTGTGTATGTGTTATGTCTCTCTCTCTCTCTCTCTCTTTGCCGCTGCTGCTGCTGCTGCTACTGCTTCAGTATGTATATTCGTGTAATGTATAGGTATATGCTTATGCGACGACTGTGTGTATCACGTATATGTTACACCATTCGCCACGACGATGGCGCATAGTACTTTGGAGAAGAAAAAGGCACGAGAAAGAGAGAGAGAAGGAAGAAAGAAAGAGAATGTTACATGTATAAATGATGAAAGTGAAAAAATGGGTAAAAAAAGAAAAAAGATGCGTTGAAACTATTTTTTTTTTTTTTTTTGCATGAAAGAGAGAGAGGGAGAGAGGTCTGTTGAGAGAAAGAAGAGAGGTATACGAGAGACGAAGCACGAAAACTCACCCCATAAACCAGTCGACGGTGTCGCGGAGATACTCGGGTAGTTTGTCCAGCTTGGCTGCTTTGTGTGGCGCGCGAGTGAGGAGGATAGATAGCGCGGGGGGCCCCTACTATGTTGCGAGCCACCGCGCTGCCTGACCTCGTCGTCGTCGTCGTCGTCAACGCTGCTGCGTGCCAACCGAACTCCCCTTCGTCTTCTTCGTCGCCGTCGTCGTCCTCGTCTTCCTCAACGTAGCGATCCACGTTGATTTCGGAGACTTGTTTCTCTCGGGTACACTCTCGACGGCACTGCGAGTTCACTACTACTGCCGATGAACTACCTACGAAACTATCAGCGGCAGCGGCAGTGCCGGAGCGAAGAACGAGTCCGAGTCCGAGACGTCGTCGTCTTCGTCGCCGCCGCAACAGCAGCGAGGCACCAAAGCTCGATCCGGCTGCACACGGGCTTCTCTCTTCTCTCTCTCTCTCTCTCTCGCTCGTTTCTTCTGCTACGATTGCAACACCAGCGGTAGCATGAGGCAGTAGAGTAGCACGTATATGTATATATACACTGGCACACACGCGCGACACGAGAGACTCGCAATATATACGAACGCACTAAAAACTGCACGAGCTGTAACTTAGATATCTACGGTTGCAGCTCCAAACTCCGTGTGTGTGTGTGTGTACGTATGAAACGTCGTCTGCACGACCTAACGCTGATCCGCGGATCGACTATATAACAGCATCCTACTCCTCGCTCGAGACGCTGCTGCTGCTGCTGCTGGCCTCGTCTCGTCTTTGTTGCTGACGACACAATGCGCACTAAGAATTAAATGCTTCTTTTGCGTAATAGGCGCCTCTCTATGTGTGTGCGACGACGACGACGATGATGTTGGTGTGCAGAGCTGCAGCAGTGGCAGCACAGCTGATCGCGTCGACGAGCGAGCCACTGCATGCGCGTCTCGATATACGATACAACGCGCGCACACGCACACAGACACACACACAAGCGCGAGATTCTTCTTCGTTGCTCTCTCAGCGAGGATGACTCGCTCCGAAGACACACGCTACATGGCAGCAGTAGCACATGTATTTGTAATGCCCAGCGGGGAGAGAGAGAGAGAGTATAATTGTCGTTCACAGGTATACAACAACAACAACAACAACAACCGCGAGGTCGCAAGCGCGAGTTTCAGGAATTAGAGGAGATGCGAGCTGCGCTGATGACGATGAAACAACGAGTCAGCCACTGAACGCACACGCGATGCTGCTCGCTGCGCTAGACACTCTATCTCGATTCGAGCAATAAATATCTCTATACGACCATACCTATGTATGTATACACACACGGACGCGCGCGCGCGCACGTTGTTGCTGATATATATCACGAGCTGCTGCTCTCGCGCATTCGCATTTCGCGGCTACACAATTTTCAGCGAGTTGCGAGAGATATTTAAATTTTCTATCGGAACACAAACGGAGTTCGTTAGTTACGCGAGTTATCGATCTCTCACTCGTTTCAATATGTACAATTAATTATCTTCCACGAGCTGTAGTAGTATATATCGGTGCGTGTGTCGACGACGCTCTGTTGCTGCTGCTGCTGATGATGCGCCATGCATGGCTCGCGACGCGCGCACAACAACACACATACGCACTCTGCCACTGTGTAGCGAGACTGCGTGAGCAGTTTCTACATTACACTGGCCAGTCCGCGGCCGCTGCTGCAAAAGGGGAGCTGCTTTTGCTTAACTTGCGGCCGCACGCACATATGAATACGCGTATATACATGAACAAGATCAGAGCGCCAGTGCTGCGAAATTCACACACTGCACCGCAGCCGTCACATAAGTGTGTGTGTGTTCGCTTTTATGCGAATCTGCAATTGCGCGCAGGTGTAGCTTGGACTTGGCTGCGCAAATCCACGTTCCTTAAATTTCGCGTGCCGATTTCATACACTATCTTAGCCACACACACACAATTTGCGGACGTTCCGTATGTGGGTTCCTTCTGTTCAGGTTTGCATTCTCTGCGATATCTGCATTATCGTTCATCGAGCGTTTCTGCTGCTCCGCGGGTATAGAAATTGGTTGAAACTCCACTAGGCGGCGATTTCGGTCGGACTTGTCGTTAAAAAATAAAAGTTCAGCTTTTAATTTAAAATTGATTGATAATATAAAGATTTATCGATTATGTTAAAATAAAAGTAATACCCGGAAAAAATCTTATGAAACTGAACAATTTCCATTTTTAAAATTAATTTATATGACGTAATCAAAAATCTTACAGTTAAGTTCATAGTATTAATGAACAATATTATTTTACTTTTACATTTTCGTGGAATGGCCGTAAAATGTGATAACTCTTGATCAGGTCGAAAAAACAATTCAAAACATTCGAACCAATTCAAAAAACAATCATGAATAAGGGTTTTTGCATCTAAAAGTTGGAATTTCTTGCATAACTTTAAAGATCTACACTGCCGTTCAATCACTTTTTCCATACCTGATAGAATAGTGAGTTAACTTCAAAGTTTTATAACTCAGCCAATATAGGTCGTATCAAGATTTTGAAACTGCCATTTGGAAGATCTTTTCAAGCCCTTTCTAACCATGTATATTTGTTTTAGGATTATTCATTTTTTAACTAATTGTCGTTAACAATTAACAAGTCGAAACAAAAAGTCTTTCTGGTCGTTGCTATTTCTGCTGTCAATTTAGTAAAAAGGCTCGCAGAAACACTCTGAGCCCATAGATTTGTAGGTTTTTTCAAGACCTTTATATCCTTTTTTTAACACGAGTGCTACGGGCTTTATTCACAAAGATACACCTTGCATTGCAAAACGACACTTTTTTTTCCTTCGTGTGTACACGGTTTTGTGAACGAGATGGAAAAACATTTTATTTACAAAAAAGTTTCGTTTTTATGAGTAAAATAAGAAAAAAGTACTATGGATTGGTTTTTTAGAAATTTTATTTTTTTCATTTTTCTGGATTTTCGAATCGATTTCGATTTTCTTCTTACTAAACTGACAGCAGAAATAGCAAAGACCAGAAAGACTTTTTGTTTCAACTTGTTAATTGTTAACGACAATTAGTTAAAAAAAGAATAATCGTAATAATAATATACATCGTTAGAAAGGGCTTAAAAATACCTTTCAAATGACAGTTTCAAAATCTTAATAAGACCTTTATTGGCTGAGTTATAAAACTTTGAAGTTAACTCACTTTTCGTTCAGGTATGGCAAAAGTGATTGAACGGCAGTGAATTTTGAAATGAGGACAATTTATTTTTTATTAGCAATATATACAAAAAAAAAAAAATAGAAACATTTCGATAATCTTTATTGTTGTATCAACAGCGATTCTTTCATCCTGATTCGTTTCAGCGTATTACGATACTTGATACTCTTAGATGTCTTCGTAACTATATCCGCGAGATGAAATGGTTTGGATATTTTGACGTTGCTTTGACACGATAATACTCACGGGATGGGATGTAAAAGCAACAAAATACGCGTTTGCAAAAAAATCATCAAAATATCAATAGCATATAAAGTGCATAACATAAATGATTTTCGAGCTTTACAAAATGTTACATTTTTTTCCTCTTATTTTTCAATAAATAAAAAATGAAGCACTAATGCCAGCTCTTCATACGTTCCGATGTACAAAAAGTCAATGAGAAATACGATACTCAACGTATGTTTGGTAAAAATAAGTTGTAATGTAAATAACATACTGAAATGAGTTTTAATTTCGTTAGCTGAATTTTTTTCGTTCAAGAACTTAAAATAATTGTGAGCTTTAGTTTGTTTCATAAAAAGCTCGACTAACTATTAAGTATGATAAATATTGTAACATTATTTGTAACGCTCAATAACTGTTAGATAAATTTCCTGCATTGGAAAAAGACTTTAGAAATATACTGCAGCACATTTTGAACGAACTTTAAAAATAATGACGTTGACTGACGTTAACTAAAACCCGTTGAAAATTTCGAACTGATATTAGAAAAGTAAACGATATATACACGGTTTATATATTTTCAACAATGTGATTTTTCTACTATAAAATTAAACGTCATACGAATTTACGAAAATTAGAGTCATGAATTAAAAATATTTCTTTGGCGCATCTTTGCAAATTCTAAGCATCCCAACACAATGCAAGTGGAGCGATCCAATAAAACAAATTTGTAAATTTGTTTTATTGCCCAGTGCGCTTATCTGCACTCGCAAATCTGAGCACACTAAAATATACCTCGCGAATGTCCCTTTATGCTTCGCGATTTTAAACAATGTCTCGCATATAGCCCGTATATGAAAAGAACATGCGAACGAGCGATTGTTTGCCGTGCAACAAAGGACACTAGGACCCGTACTCGTAGTACTTCAATCAAACCAATGTTCAATTAAATCGACGTAACTACACATGCACTCGTCGTCGTCGTCTCGGACAAAGTGTATAACAGCCAACGGAACGCTAAAAGCTATGAATGATGATTGTGCGCGACGGCGAGGAGCTTTTTGAGCAATAAATTCATTGTTGTTGACGGGTGACTTTTCCAAGTTTACTGTCAGTGACAATTTCCATCAACTTATCATTATTATATGGAAATAATAAGTGCCGCTGCATCAGAAGTTATATCGAAGTGCGTACGGATTTTCTGCCTCGAGTCGTCGCGCATAGTCGTGAAAGTTACCTTATACCATCCATAAAAGCTCAGTCGTACCTATTGTGTGTATACAGTTCGAATTCGTTATTATAAAATTAATAACTTGCACCTATACTTTAAAAGACGTCGGTACTTTTTGATATTTCTCTGTGAATGCACATCAGTCATGAATTAATAAACTTTTTGAAGGACTGTAACATTTAACTGTAAGTTAAATGAATATAAAACGTTGCTGCGCTGCTTAGCACGTTCGAGCGAATTAATGTAATCTAACGCTTTTATTTCAGCACTGTTCATTGTTTTCAAACCTTGAATTTTCATAATCTTATACCGTTCGAAGCTATAAAGTTTAATTATTATTTACACAATACAAATAGAACAAAGACATCAGCGAAATTCACTCTCGATTAAAATGTTCACCATTATAGAACAAAGCATAATTTTTTCTCGTTCGGAATTAATTAAGTACGAAACTATAATAATGGAACTGACAATACTTTAACGTATTGACTTTGTCAGGTAAGTCTAGTTTTTGAAATATGATTTCAACACCAGATCGAAATATCCCCACGAAAACGACATTCCCGGACGACACGCAATTACTTTAGACAGGTCAGTAATGCATTTGATGGAGTTTAAGCATCCAAAGATGACGATAATCCATCGTTACAGGTTGACATCACTCTAATATGTATGGAATATCGTCGTAACGAGGTAAACTCTCAGATATCTCGTCGACGATCGAGCTTTGAATTATCCCACTGTTTGATCTACGAATGCACATTGGATTAAAGGGATGAGTCGAATGCGATTATTATTATAATGTTGGAGTTGATTGATTTTGGCAAGGGCAAAGGAGTACATTGATTGAACCCTATTTGTTCTCTTGAACAAGAAAACTTTTATTTAACACAAACTTTACTTCACTGTGCACTCTGAACTTCAAAAGAATAAATAAACGACAAATGTCGAACTCCCAGAATGTAAGAAAGGAAACAAAGGTATAATCGAAATTCGCAAGATGCGCTCTGTTCATCTAAAAGTGGGTCGCGATAGAGTGATATCGGCAGAGGCACGCGTGTGCTCGTGCGGTGGGCAGATATATAGACTCGTGCGTGATAGTGTCGCACTGTCGCTTTGTCCGGCACAGGCTATAGTCTATATACTATATAGATATATAGTGGGTATACCCACTCATACACTCGCACATACGGCTCACACAGACTCTGGCTGATACACGGCCATCTATGCATCGCCGACATATAAAATTATTAATCGAGCGTGTACGTAGAGCTAAGGAGCCAAGCTAGACCGCGGAGAGCTTCGATCTCGAACTCATTCGGTGTAACCGCGCGCGTCGCAACAAACTGCAAGACGCCGAAAGCGATTACAGCTAACCAGATATTGCAGCAGCAGCAGATGAGCAGCAGTGTATGGGATGCCAGCAAACACGCTATCTCTGACATTTTGGAAAATAAGGACTTTGAAAGTAAAGTGAGACGAAGAGGAGCAAGAAGAGAAGAGGAGAAATCCGATTTACTCGGAGTTTTAATAATAAAATTTATTAATGAACAGCGAACTCCGTGAATTACATCGATCGATTTACGTTCTGTGTCTTGGGAAGTTGCGTAGATTAGACTGATGAAGTTTTTAGAAATAACTTTATAATAAAATTGATCTAGTGGAAAATGTTTAGGCAAAACATTTGTACATACACGATACACAATTCTTCATTAATTTATGTAAATGTAAATGAAATATGATTACTTGATGTAGATATATTTTTCTGCCGACTACATGCTTTTTTTCATAATTTCGCTATAATTTTACTTCTAACAGCAGCTTATTAATTTTCAAAAATGAATATTTTTTTTGTAAGAAAATGTAAAAATTAATATTGTAGAACTCGTTTTGTGCAATAACAAGATCTGTCGAGATCATAAGTGTCATGTTCGATTATGAACTTTTTGATTCCTTCATTTCGAAAGGTATAAGTAAAAAATTTGTAATATTTATGTTATTGTGTCCTTAAAATGTGGATCAATTTACTATATAGCAGCAAATTTGTTGGTCCCTTGAGACTCAAACGAAGATTCGTCCTGATTTTAAAGACGTTCCGTTAAAAATTAAATTTTGATTTCGCTTTAATGCACTCTGAAGTTAGGTTGATCATAGATCGGTTATTCGTCTGCTAGAGCGATTATCTGACATCGTCGTGCGCACTAACCAATTATTGGTTAGTTAATCGCATCGTATCAGATTATTCATGATATCCTATTTTCATCATTACAAGTTCATCATTTGTGATTTTTCCGATGTAGCTTCGTTAGAATTTGTTTTACTCGAAAAAAATATATATTTTTTTTTATTACATCGACGATGCCCTAATCGACAGTAAATAAGCAATAAATTATTTTCGATCATCTTGCAGATAAATAAATATTCGAAAAAAGAAAAACATACACGATGGAGCCAGATACCATCGGTGACACCGTCAAGCGCAAAAAAAGACGAAGTTATTACTCCGAGCTCGTTACCGGTGAGGTGCTCATATTCATTAAAACGTTACGTGCTACTAGGCACGAGACGTACATGATTTTTTTTTAATTTGAATAAAACATTTTTGCATTCGTGTAAATATAACAATTACAACAACGACAGGTGCACGCAGTCACGGCGATGGGACAAACGAGGCGATGGCGTCGATGTTCGCTTATGCGGGCCCGGAAAAAACAGCCTGGAACGTCTTTAAAAAGGCCGCCTCGCCGATGGTCAATTTGACGTCGAGACGCGTCACCGGTGGCTTGGCGCCCGATCCCAGCCGATGGCTGACTTTTCCCCAGGATCCCTCGACCGTTAGTCGATCGAAGAATAATCGTCACGAAGCTCACTCATGCATGATTTTTACACTCTCCAGACATTCCCCGTGCAAAGCCTCAATCCAAAAGTACAAATGACCATCGAGGCCGAGCCTCGCCACCTGGTGCTGAACGTCGAGCGCGAACGGCGCCGTCGACAGTACGAACACTTCAAGCTCGCGCGCATATTGGACGAGAAAGGCATGCAGATCGAGGACATCATTCGCGACAGCTATCTGGGCCTCGAGCTGTTCGACGACGAGGAGTACGACTGCCGTACGCCCCAAGAGTGGCTGCGATTGGGACAGATCGACGGCAAGCAGTATCCGCTTCCGGCCGAGGCTCTTCTACCTTTGTCCAGCGAGGACGAGGCCGTTGCCGACGAGCATCGCCAGGCCTCGTACGATTGGCAATTGGTCGCCGTCGAGGCTTACGAGCCCGACACGAGGCTCTGGAGCTTGAAGATCTTGTGCGAGAAGCCGCGATACTATCGACTGCCGCGCATCTATCTGCGCTTTCTCGCCGAGGATCCGCGCGTGTTCGCTTCGAGGGTCGAGGCGGCGTTGCTCGCGCGAATCGACGCCGAGCTCGAGATACTGTACAATTTGCAGCTCGACTGCACTAGTCTGGACGAGATGCAGGCCATGAGTCCCGACGACGAAACGGCGATATTAGAGCGACTGGCAGATAGCAGTGGGTACTCGCACGAGGCGATGGGAGAAAGAGCTTCGATGGTAAATTTTAATTTTTTTTCTTTGGCGTAAAGTTAAAATATAAAATGAATAAATCCCGATTAAACAGGCGATGAAGGAGGTCGATCGTAATTACCGACGAACCATGTGCGACCTGATCTATCGCGATTCATTCAAAAGCGAGCACCCGAACTTTCGTCCCGAGCCCGAGCAATCTTATTGCAAAGCCATCGTCATCAAGAGAATTCCGCATTTCAACGTACGTACATATATATGGCCCTCATCGCTCATAACATACGAGACGTACTATACGCGAAATCGATAGTCAAACGTTCCGTGCACTGATCGTCTCCATTTGCATACAGCGGGTCAAAGAGCTTTACCACTGGACGACCCTCTATGTTTACCCGGAAGTCTATCAAGCTCTGCTGCTCATACTCGACGAGTGTCGCAACGTCAGCGCTAAATCTCTCTTCGACGTCGACGACGAGCCCGTCGCCGTAGCAGCTGATTCAGCAGCAGCAGCGATGGAGGAAACAACGAACGTCGCGGCGGCGGCAGCCCTGCCTTTGGAGGCGTACGAGGCCAAACAGTTGGAGCGCACCCGCGAGACGATCGATTATCTGACCCGGGACTGGATCAACAATACGGTGCAGATACTGGAGGATCGAGTCGGGGCCTGTGGCAAGGGCTGGTTCGATCTCAATCAGAGCCATCACGACGTTTACGAGTTCATGAAGCTCAAACGATTGATGGAGCTCGTCAAGCAGTGCATGGAGGTGACGACGAGTCGTCGACACTTTTTTAGGAAATATTTTTGGAAATTTTCATTTTTTATCGCTATCGACTCGAAAACAGACGGCCCTGCAAACGCTGATCGACGCCTCGTCCCTGCGATACGTCACGAGTCTGGAATCGCCGACTCTGTGCCTGCAGCACCTCAACGACGAGTCTCACGCTTGGGAGGAGGCTGATCTGAAAAGCCCGCGGCTCACCTCGGATTACCCCGCGATATTCGAAATCGAGCTCTACATGGACAAGGACAAGCCCCATTACACCACGGATTTGGATTTGTTTAGAGTAAGCGTGTAAACGCACACACACACACACAGCCCTTGGGGCAATTTATATCGCGTGATCCCGTGTAAATTGAAAAAAATGCCATCGATCAACAAGCACAACAACAACAACAACAACAGCAACATCTCTTTCTCCCTTTCCTCCTCCCCTGGGCAGGAAAAATTGAGCGGCATTTATTCGAACGCCCTCAAGCTGTGCCAATCCATCCGCCAAGTTCATCCGTTGGTGCTGAAAAATTTGAAATTTCCCCAAAATCTATTCGTCAAGCCGCTGAACCTGGTCGATCAGACCGAGCTCATCGAGGAGGTCTATCGCAGGCTGGATCGAGCTTACGCCAAGGCCGTGATCCCGCTGCGCGCCTACATCAAGAGATACGAGAAATATCGCGAGCTCTATTTGCTGAACGTAGACGAGTACATCGAGTGAGCGAACGATATTTTTTTACTCTTATTGATTTATCTATTTTTGACACTAAAGCCAGTTGTTATTTTGTTGCCGCCACCGTCGTCGTCGTCGTCGCAGTAACTTTTTCAACGAGGAATTTACAGTCTCGCAATTCAAGGAGGAGATCTCGCGTCAGCGCGAGCTGCGCGCCAAGATTGCCGAGCAGATACCCGAGCGGCTCGGCATCGGGCCCTTCGTCGTGGACGTGCGCAAGCTGCGAGCCGAGCTGCAGAAAAAGCACGAGGACATCGTCGACGGGCTTCTGGTGGCCTACGTCGAGCGTCTCGCCGTCCAGGTCGGACAAATATTGGCCGAGTTCGAGGGGATGATGGACCGGCTGAGCGAGCAGCCGATCGACATTGAGCAGCTGTTCGAGATGAGGGAGTACATGAACGCGGTGCCGTTGGCCGTGGCGAATCTCACGGAGCAGCTGCAGAGGCTGAAGATCGAGTACGACGTGTTGGAGCATTTTTGTTACAATTTGTCGGACGACGATTTCAATGCCTTTTGGTCAGCGAGGAGATATCCAACGAGGATACTCAGAATAGTATGCTTGCTTTTTTTCACGTTTTAAATTTTGAATGCAATATCAAACAATTGTCATTTTAATGAAACAATTTAATGTTTAATTAAATTAACTGATAAGTCTTCGTATTCAATTAAATATTTAATTGATTCTGTAGAACACGCAGTAGATTGAACCAAGTTGTCTTTTCTAATGATTCATACAAATTTATTAACTGTTCAATTGAATCGATGAAAATATCGTCGAAATTAAATCAAGTTATCGATTCAATTAAACTACTGGTAGAGTAAATTAAATATTATTTTAATGTAAGGGTTATACTTGATGTGTTTTTTTTTCTTTCACGATGTTTTATAGATCGACGAGACGAGCAAAGTCCTTCTCGAGCTTGAAAAAGAAGTATTCTACAAAGTCCAACTCGAGGATCAGATACAGATCAACGACCGTATCGACTTCGTGATGGGCGCGATGACCGGTATCGCCATCCAAAACGATCTGGCCAAGGTCTACGAGATCGCCAAGGAGGTGAAAAACGTCGGCAAGCTCATCCGCGAGGTGCAGGAGTTCGGCCTGATGCTCAACGCGAGACAAAAACTGTTCGGCATGCCCGTGGTGCCTTTCGAAAAAATCACGATGCTCGTCAAGAGCTTCGAGCCTTATCAGAATTTCTGGCTGACGGCCGACGACTGGACGAAGCGTCACGACGAGTGGATGAACAAGCCGATGGTGAAGATCGACGGTGCCGAGATCGAGGGTGTGGTGAACGAGATGTACAAGACAATCGTCAAGTGTACGAAGATGTTTCCCGAGCAACCGGAAATGACGGATTTGGCCCTGGAAGTTAAGCAGCAGATCGAGAAATTCAGACCGTATATCGGTATCATACAGGCCTTGACGAATCCGGGCATGAAACCGAGACATTTCGAGGAGTTGTCCAGAATCGCCGAGACGGACATGAGCATGAGTCCCGAGCTGACGTTTCAAGATCTGCTGGAAAACGATATATTGAGCCTGGAAGAGACGATCAAGGAGATCTCCGAAACGGCGGCGAGAGAATTCGCGATCGAGAGATCGCTGGAAAAGATGAGGACAGCCTGGGAGACGCTGCAGATGGACGTGGTGCCTTACAAGGACACGGGCACTTACATCATGAAAATAGCCGACGAGACGATGCTGCTCTTGGACGATCACATCCTGAGCACGCAGCAGATCAGCTTCAGCCCGTTCAAGGGCGCCTTCGAGGAGGACATAGACGTGTGGACGGCCTCGCTGAAGCTCACTCAGCAGGTGACTCTGCTGTGGGGCGAGGTGCAAAAGTACGAATCGATGATTTATTTTTTGAAACGATATTTTCTTTCGACTAAATGAAATTTTATCGATATTAATATATAAGGATATGGATGTATTTGGAGCCGATTTTCGCCTCGGAGGATATAAGCCGTCAATTGCCGGTCGAGTCGAAAAAGTACAACACCATGGAGCGCAACTGGCGCAGAATCATGCTGCAGGCGTTTGAAAATCCACTCGTAAGCACGCGCCATCGATCGATTTTACTCGCAGTCGCATCGATACACCGTCGCTCAATTTTTTCCTGTAGATCATGGAAATATGCCCCGACCAAATGCTGCTCGAGAGCTTGCGCGAATGCATGAACCTGCTCGAGGTAGTGCAAAAAGGCCTGGCCGATTATCTCGAGAGCCGTCGCATGATATTCCCTCGCTTCTTCTTCCTGAGCGACGACGAACTGCTGGAGATCCTGGCTCAAGCCAAGAACGTCAAGGCCGTGCAACCGCACCTGAAAAAATGCTTCGAGAACATGCACGGGCTGCGCTTCGAGAAGAGCCTCTGGATCACGCGCATGTACTCGGCCGAGGGCGAGGAGGTCGCCCTGCAGGCCCGCATCTATCCGGACGGCGGCGTCGAGCACTGGCTCGGCAAAGTCGAGGAGGCGATGCGCAACACCGTCCGATACAAGATCAGTCAGGCCGTGAAAAACGTGGAGAAGCTGCCGAGAAAGAAGTGGGTGTTTCTGTGGCCGGGCCAGGTGTCGCTGTGCGTGGGCCAGATGTCCTGGACGGCTCACGTGGAGAAAGCCATCGGCGACAGAAATCTCGCGGGTTACTTCAAGATCATGATGCAACAGGTATTGCGCAATGTACCACTGTGCGGGGAATGGAAACGAACGTCGATATTTAGCGCGGGCGCGTAATTGAAATATTTAATCCAGTTCAACTTCGACGTTGCTTTCTTGCAACAGCGAGCTTCGCGCGCGTGGGTATGCGAAAATTAATAACGCGCGCGTATATTACAAAGTTCGTTATACGCGGGGGCTTAATTAATATATACTCCCCTCCTCCCATCTCTTCGTCTCTTTCGTACAGCTCGCGTTAAACAATGTAATAACAAAGGCGGCGCTCGTGTGTATGCGCGAAATGCGCGTGAGTATTTCGTTCAATTTCTATAACGAACTCTACCGCACGTATACAGCTCGACGATCTGAGAAATTTGGTGCGCGAAATGCGCGTGAGTATTTCGTTCAATTTCTATAACGAACTCTACCGCACGTATACAGCTCGACGATCTGAGAAATTTGGTGCGCGAGCAGCGTACCGACATCGAGCGCATGATGCTCGAGGCCATCATCACGATCGAGGTGCACGCCCGGGACGTGACGCAGAAGCTCGTGGAGACCCGCGTGAGGAGCGTCAACGACTTCGACTGGATCTCGCAGCTGCGTTACTACTGGGTGGACGATGCCCACTTGAAGGTGCGAGCCGTCAATGCCGAGTTTCAATACGGGTTCGTGGCGTACAATTATTTTACGATTTCACGTTAAAGAAAGAGAATGATGATGATGCGTTTGAGCCTGCGTTCGAGCCCCAATTCATAAACAAAGCTTCTAATTTGGTTGATGAATTATGACGTTTATTTACGTCCCCGTTGATGGAAGTATCGAAGTGGCGATTCATGGGGAACTTGATACACAACATTTTTCATATTCAGGAAAAACTATGGTTATCCAGGGTTCTTTGGCGTTTCATTTACAATTTTCAAATTCCGTATACGAAAATGAAAAACTTAGTACGTTTACGATTTTTGAGTAGCCAGTCCACGAAATTTTCATGTAAATTTACTTCTCTAATTCGTAATTACATTGTCAAATCTCTTTAATTAATAATTATATTTGACACGCTTATTAACAACAATGTAAAACTTATTTATATGGAATCATGAATTCCATAATATATTCTATAAATAATTCAATCATCAGTTCAGTTTTGACAAGGTATTCTGTGCAAATTAGTATCGTAATTATAAGTTACTAATAACTTGTATAATCATGATGATTAATAATGAAATATTTATGTAAATAAACCTTCGTAAGTCAAATTAAATTCATTTGAAACCTCTCCTAATACATAATTATAATGCAGCCTCATGAAACTCGAGTTATGGCGATTATACCGCAATAAAAATAAATAACGCACGTGCAGTTACGAGTACCTGGGAAACAACGGCCGACTCGTGATCACTCCCCTGACGGATCGCTGCTATCTCACTCTCACCGGTGCTCTGCATCTGAAATTCGGCGGCGCCCCCGCAGGGCCCGCCGGTACCGGCAAGACCGAGACCACCAAGGATCTGGCCAAGGCCTTCGCCATTCAGTGCGTCGTGTTCAATTGCTCGGACCAACTGGACTTCATGTCGATGGGCAAGTTCTTCAAGGGCCTCGCCTCTTCCGGCGCCTGGGCTTGCTTCGACGAGTTCAATCGTATCGACATCGAGGTGCTCTCGGTCATTGCCCAACAAATAATGACGATTCAACGGGCACAGATGGTTGGCGCCGATAGGTAAGCAACAATTCAATTTTTTTCGCTTCACTCGAATCATTCCTCAAAGAAATTCATTTATCTAAAAAATTATTTTACGTCTTACCAGTCTTGTACTGGCAATGGGCAAATCAAATGTCGAGGAAAGAATTTATTTAATTATATGATTTTCCGCGAAGAATGATTTTATGTTATTTTTTCCAGTCATTATCTTTACCGACATAATTTAATAGAATAAATGAAAATAAAGAACCAATCGGTGAATCGTTTAAAGGTTTTACTTCGAAGGAACCGAGCTGAGCTTGCGAGCTTCTTGCGCCGTCTTCATCACCATGAATCCGGGCTACGCCGGTCGCACGGAACTGCCGGACAATCTCAAAGCTCTGTTTCGGCCTGTCGCCATGATGGTGCCGAATTACGCTCTCATCGCCGAGATCTCGCTGTTCTCGTGCGGCTTCGGCGAGGCCAAGTCTCTGGCGGCCAAGATCACGGCCACGTTCAAATTGAGCTCCGAGCAGCTGAGCTCTCAAGATCATTACGATTTCGGCATGAGGTCCGTGAAAACGGTGATTCTAACCGCGGGTATTTTGAAGCGAGAGCAAAAGGACATGGCCGAGCAGCAGATCTGTTTGAGAGCTCTGAGAGACGTCAACGTGCCCAAGTTCTTGAAGGACGACTTGATATTGTTCAACGGTATCACGTCCGATCTGTTCCCGAGAGTCGAGGAAAAAGTCATCGATTACGACGAGCTCATCGGAGCTATTCACAAGTCTATCAAGGAAATGAAATTGGCCGTAGTTGGAGGTATTTAACAATTGATTGAATAACTCGGATATACGGTTTCAAAATTTACGTAAACAATCTCTTTATTGGTAAAAACAAAAAAGATAAAACATCGTCTTTTTATTCCCATACATAGAATTTGTACACAAAGTCATTCAACTCTACGAGACAACAATTGTACGCCACGGATTAATGTTAGTCGGGCCTACAGGCGCTGGTAAGACTCGGGTAAGTACATACACATACTGCACACTATTTGACGTAGCATATTGTATATACTATATGATGATATATATTTTAAAAATTTCGTTAACGAGTATATCTACGACGATTCCGAAGGTCCTCGCGAAAGCTCATTGATTGACAGAAATGACTCTATTTGTTTTTTTTTTTCACATCGACGTGCTTCGGCAAATTGATTTGCAAAATAATGATCGATTTGGCCTGATTGTGTATTAGCAGTTTTGACATTGAAATTACACGATCTTTGCACAAATTGCTTTCAGCAATTTATTTTGTCTTTGCTATAGTACTGAAAAGATTTCGAACAGTCTTTCGAGAAATAAGACGGATTATTTATTCAATCGTGTTGTTCACGCTCCATCAGGGGAATCTAGTATAGTGTAATGCGTAAAGCATTCGTTACATTATCGACGAAATGTAGGGTCCGATATATTGACTATTGAAGAATCTTGATGAAATCGCATTAGTGTGTCGTGCAGTAGTATATGGCGGCGGCGCTTCGAATTGGAATTCATAAAATTTTATATTGCTTTTTAACGATTAATAGAGTTTTTCACACTTAAAACATTCTTAAATGCATTTTTTTATCAGAAAATCGATTACTCTATCTATTTTTCGGCATTTTATCGAGTTTTTTTTTTAATTTTTCCTTTTTGTTAAAAAAGCTGTAAAAAATGTTTCTTCTCTAAAAGTCTCCTTACTAGAGATAGTTTTAACAAAAACCGTTGGCATCATTAAAGCAAGAGTTGACACGAGGAAGAATCTCAGCATCTCCTCGTGGATCTTAATTAGCATCCGAGTTAATTTTCAAGTTACGGAATAATCTTCTCCTACCATATACATATAATAGGGACAAATGAGTATATATTATCAAGCTTTCCTCAAGAGCCATTGATTTAGATTAGCTGCAGGTCGTGGTTTACTTGGTAATTTTGATATGGAAGATCTTCAGACACGTGCATGTCTCTTGATTAAATATTAACGTCTCACTCGACTTATGCCCATTTTTTATTCGCTCGCGAGCACGCCTTAATTAAAAGTTAAAGTAAGAGTCATTATCTTTTACTTTGGAAAAGGAAAGGGTACATCTACTATCGAATTAAAATTTTAATTTTATCATTAATTCATCACGTTATGCATATATTCTGGGATGCTTCGCTGGTACGCACATTTTCTCATCTATTTATACATTATATATATCTATCTTGAGGGCTCGGAGGTACATTAAGAATCGAATGAAAAATTTATTGAATAAATTTTCGGGGCGCGCGCTACGCACGCGTGCATTTTTATGCTCGATTAATGATCGTTTTGGCTGCGGTAGATATCATTTTTTATAATGATAAAAACGCTTTGCATTTCTCGGTGGCACGAGAATAATATTGTCGATTTATTTTGTTTTTTTATCCACTAATATATATTAGCTGCTTGTCGATTTCAAAGTTCACCCTCGAGCCCTCAAAAAGCACAAATACTAAATTCGTAAAATATGATGCTTATTATTAGACGTACACACACACACATTTACCCTGCCGGAATCAATAAATTTTTTACGTCATCGTATAAGTACGCGCAGAGAGAGAGAGAGAGAACGTCTATGATACGACCTAAATATACACGACTAAATATTTAAAAAGCTTTCGATTTCTTTCTCGACTCCTCTCTCTATATGTGTATTCAGACGTAGGAGCTGCTGTCGTCTTGATAATAAATCACAGTGTTTCTTTCCTGGCGATTGCACAGACAACAGCCCGTGCAGCTCGCCGTTAGCTACGTGAATCGTTGGGGATTGCAGTGGTACCTCGTCAGGCTCTTCAAGCACTTCCTGAGCAGCTGCACCAAGCAGCGTCTGAACGCGCTGCCGCACATGGCGTAGAGCAAAAAGTTGATGCTGAAGTTCGTGTAGTACAGCAGCATGAACGATTGCTGGATGCACCAGAGCGACATGGGCGGGAACTCGTTCCTGAAGGCCGTGTAGTAGAAGACCACGAGACGAATGGCGTAGCTAGATATGAGAAAAAAAATAATGAAACAAACGAACGAACGAAACAAAGTTTACGAATATGAAAAAACAGGAAAATAATCAACGTAGAGAGTTGTTGCAGACAGCTTGCCGCCGATTAGTAGTAGTTATGCTGGTATTTACCTTGGTAAATTCAACGAAACGAAAACCGAGCTAATTATTAGGAGCAACTTTGTCGTGTTCTGTTGAGTACGAGTTGCGGCTTGACTCCGATTTGTCGTTCGTACATCTGTAAAAGAGGATTTTGAATGATTGATCGATCGCAAATGTCACTCGTAACAGTGAAAATGCATACAACCCTCGAAGCGGCTATTCAGGAAGGAAGCTATTCATACATGGAATTTTGAAATTTTGTAGGGAAGTACCGAGCTTACCTCAGAATATTAGGTAGATAAGTTTAAAACAAAAATTTCATGTACGAAATTCCCTTCAAGAGCAGCATCATTTAAATTTCATCTAATATTGCATTTTACCTTGTTTTTCCACAAATTCTTTTGAATGTGCAGTGCGCTTACATATAGCGTAAATGAGGTAATGCATAATTAATTTTGAGAATTTAAAGCATCCTCTGATTGTTATATAATGAGTTTTATACGAGACGTGTAGTTTCAGTCAGATGATTTTTAATTTTGAAAATAGACCATGTAGAGACATACATGTTAAACGGACTGCAGCAATATATTCGTCTTGAAAATCTCATTAACGTGTCTGTCATCGTGCGTGTGTTTGTTAAACTTCCAATAAGTTGTCTATATCATATTTAATAGTATTTCAAAAATAAATTCACCGTTTATTATAATAATAAACAAATGGAGGGGGGACAGCTGCCCCTCCGACACGTAGACTCATGGTCCATTGTGTCAAGAATCACCGTTTATTAATAAATGCACAAAAATCTCATTTAGCTAAAATTTTATGATTTATTCTTCAAAATGATTGATGGTCAAATTTAAATGACATGAAATTTTCATCAAGGATTCGCGAATTTAATTCAAGAGTTATATTTCGGATTGATTCGATTTTTTCGGATGTTAATTAATGTCACCAACATTTCCCAAATAGTAATACCCATAAGAAAAGTTCGCGTCATTATTAATATTTAAAGTAAATAAAAGCTACTGCGTTTCTTGAATAGTCAATATCCCCTCACCAATAAAACGTTTATCTCCGTTAAATATATAAATGTTATCGACAGAAATGAAATACACTGCTTTCAATAATAATAACAACAACATAAACAGCCCGATATCGACCTATTTTTTTAATATCTAAAATACTAAAGAGCAAATATTTTTAATAAAAATTTCCCTCGCTGCGCGAAACTTACGCATGCGAGTTGTTATTTCTGGCATGAGGACATTTTTCGGAGTCAATGGAGTCTCGACGGTGAACAGCGTTTGCTGCACCGGCTGCGACGTCGTCGAGCGCGAGTGATGCGACTCGTCGTTTTTCGACGAGCTGTTGAACGACTGCTGCGACGGGTTCTTGCGTCCCTCCACCGTCGAACCCATCGCGATCCCGTTGACTTTGTTGTTGGAGCTGCTACTTTTACTCTGAAAAACAACAACAGTCATTGAGATTTCAACAGAATTTTCCTACGATTGATTTTAGATAATTGTTGTTTGTCAATTGTTTGGTCAAAACTTAAAATACGAATAATTCGTATGCGCGCGGCGGAATTTTCCTCTCTCGTATATCAGCCCGAGCTATTAACGCCTAACGTTTGTTTGTTTGTTTATCTGTTAATATATATCGCACCTGTATAAACTGTCGGTGATTGCCATTCGTGCGGAAGTATTTTCATTCATTATGATTGGCGATAAATTTAGACGATAACTACCGAAAATAGCTTTGAGGTGCATTTCGTGTATTATGTATGGTTGATAATATTTTGATGCGGAGATTCGAGCCAAAACATTTAATCCGACAGTATGCAAGATCGTTTTCGTTTTCGGAAGACTGCTAAGGATCGGATAGGAAAGTGTACCTTTGATTTAGTTCCATTGATGCGAATCTTTCTCTGCTGAAAATGCTCAACATTTTGTGGCCGTATGATGTACTACGTTTATTTAATGATCATTTATTGTCAGTATAAAATTCGTGCGAATCATCGTATTTACACATTTTCAATGGTTATTTTTAATTTTCTTCATTTGAATTGTAAAACATGGAGCAAATTGGATTTGTTAAATTGAAATAATTTACGATATCATTATTTTAGTACCCTCGGATTGAACCGTATTGGGTGTATCTTACAAAATCGTGTTTTTAGGGGTAGAGAATAGTAATACATTTCAAAACATATCGAATTGTGATTTTTCGATCATTAGGTTACTCTTATTATTAGCATTTTTATCAGGGGTTACGTGCAATTTTTGTAAATTTGTGAGAGTAGCATGGAATAGCGTTTTTATAATTTTGAAATTTTCATTCTGTATGGTTCAAAAAATTAAAATGAAAACCCTGAAACTATATAGTTATACGGCCTTTTCATAGTATCATTTCACGGCGCCTAACATTCAAAAGAACATTTTAAAAATTCAAAAAGTCTTCACAAATATTTGTAAATATTTACACATATTCTTTGACGAAAATTCTAATAATTGAAAACCCAAGCAAAGAGAAGTAATCACGAAACGGCATTTGAAAATTCCGCAGGGAGCTCGTGGTTTCACGCAAATCGAGGAAATTGCGGGACAGTCTAATAAGCAACAAAAGTAAAACATACAAGTATCTCGTTGTAATTCCAAAGGTTAAATTGAAATCGATCCTTGTTTTCTCATCCTGTGTCTCTCCTATTTGCCGATTAAAAGTCCTTGGCTTTATACAATTTGCAATACGTTTTTTAATGATACGTCGAAAAGTTGAAAGTTACAGCCCCCTGGGTGTCGCGCGAAGCGCTGGGAATCGATATCGAGATTAGAGTACGCACTCTCTCGGCATTACACATTCCTTTCATTTA